CCTTCCAACCCTTCCCTGCACACTCACTGCTTCCAGAGTTTTACGAGATTCCTTGTAACTCCCTTTTTAGGAGGCTAGATAGGCGCCCACTTTACCGTTTTAATTAAAAGTGAAAGATAAAAACAACATTTACAAATGTCCCTTATGTGGCCAGAACTGTGCTAATGTAATTTAATCTATAATGTAATTTAATCTGTACATGAATCCCAGTTGTTTAGTATATTATTATGCCCGTTTTAGTAATTTAAAATATGAAGTTCAGAAAGGATCAGTAACCTGCCCAAGGTCACACAGTGACAAGTGGCAAGAACCGCCTTGAACCCTTTTGTCAAATGGATGGCAAAGCTGGGATTCTAATCGGATCTGTATGATCCAGAGCCTTCTGGTTCCCTCCCACGCGAGCCTCCCAAACAGGACAGCCCCATCGGGTGAGCAAAACTCGTGGGGCACAAGTGACGTCCTTCAACTGATAAAATTACGCCCAAGCCCTCTTGGGCCAAGAGGTGCTACCTGAGACGCTCTGGAACTCTGGCACTGTGTGTAATTTATCCCCCACTTTGCGTGCCAGGAGCAGGGAATGCCCCTCTCTTCTTCTAGGGCCTTGCACGCAGGGAAGCCCAGACCTTGTCGGATCTTGTACCCAAATCCCTTCTGTATTCAGGGGCCTCCCCATTGGAATGAGACTTCACCACATCTGAGTGGCCTGGGGTACATCCACCACCTTAGAAACTCCAAAGGCAAGTGGAACCAAACGCTTGTGCTGCGTGCCGGTCACCGAACTTCTCTGAACCTAATGGCGCTTCGGCACGGCGTCAGCGTTTGGGGATCACCTGCTGCAGGGATGACTGGAGGGAGGGGGAAGGGAGGATGAACAGGTCACAAACCACAGTAGCTGAAATGGTGAAACAGCAGACGTTTGGACTGTCTGTTCTTCCTGCCCTTTCCATTGCCATCAATTCGAGGGGTACAGAATCAGAGGGGGAAGGAGATTCCTTTTCTCGGGCTACATCTCAGGAAATACGCTCTTAGTGCTTATCTTCTTAACCTCCTTCCTCAGCAGTCAATCCGTCCACACCCCTAGAGGCACACTGAGGTCAGCATTTCGGAGCACGGTAAAGAGACCTTATTGAAAGCGAATGGCCTAAGGATTTGTGGGGCACAGCCTGTGCAGACAGGCCAAATCAAGAGCAGGCCGAGGCTTGGCTAGAGACCACAGCTCTAGCTCGGCTTTTGTCTCACTGGGAGATTTCCCAGGCTGGTCCCTGCCCAGGTTCTGTCCTAGTTTGGGCTTTGTTCTACTCTTCTGAAAGTAACTAAAACAAAGAACTTGAAAGCCCAAGAGAACTATGGGGTTGGCAAGTCCAAACCCCTAGGAGGGGCGTACCCATCCAGGGTCTTCATTCAGTAGTACTTGAGGATCAAGAGTCCATTTGCCCAAAGAGAAAAAACGTGAACTGCCTGGTCCATGTTGGTATCAAACCAGGACTGCTATATTCATGACCATGGTTTTCAGACAACTACTGAATTGCCACGATGCTTTTCGTTCTCTGAGGGATGTCCAGTCAAATGATCGGCAGCTACATCGGCTGTTAATTTCTGTCACATTTCTGTCTCACCAGCCTGCACAGCAACTTCCTGGAGACATCAGGAGTGGCCTCGACACTTGATAACTCCTGAACTGCGCCTCCCGCCAAAGAACCAGAAAAAGGGGTCTGGCCTCACAGAACAGTCACCACCCCAGGGGCCAGGAAAAGACAACCCCGCCACCTTTTTTTTTTAATAAAAGATCCCACTTGCTGGGAAGCAGAGGGAATAACAGTATGTGCTAAGATCTACAGTGAAAAAGTTCTCTCTAGCAAAGAAGCCAGACTCCAAAGACCATGTATTATATTATTTCATTGACAGAAAGTTCAAAATTAGACAAAAGTCTCCCAAGGTGTTCGGAGCCAAGAGCTGCGTGTCTCTGTGTGGGAAGGAGGCAGTGATAATTGAGGAAGCATGGGGGGATGTCAGGGAACTTGATAACACTTCATTTTGACCTGTGTGCTGGGTACATGAGTGGTGTTCATTTTGTGAGAATCCAAGTTGTATACTTAATGGTTTGTGTGACTGTGTATATTTCATACATAGATAAAAATGACAAATTAAAAAACATTCCCTTCATAGGCAGAAAGTGGCTTATACTCATTGCTGCCTGCTTGCAGAATCCCATCCACACACAGTGGGCCGGAGACTTTTTAAAAAGAACAAACCCATAAGCCTATTTTCTCACCTTCAAATGGTTTTTTCACGGTTTTCAAATGCAATAAGAGGTTGTTTCAGGCTGAATATCACTGAATTTCAGGGACTAATCAAGCCTTTTTCTGCACTTGGCCAATCTCTGGATAAGCCAAATTCGGCCTGCGGTCCCACGGAGAGATGGACTAAGTAATCCTCAGGCCTCCCAGGTCTGACACGGGGGAGAGCTGAGACGCAGAGAGCATGGGCGAAGTTAAGCAACTTTCCCCTGATTACACAGTGAGTCGCTGGTGGGGGGCCTTGTGATTCTCGGTCCAAGGACTATCACTTTTCTACTACATCTCATTCCACAAGGGCCAATTAATAAACACTCTCCTTTGGGGAATGGAGAAAAAATGAGCCCAGGGAACGTCACTGGCTATTCTCTGTATACAAAGCACACAAAGGGGTTTACCGAGTTCCTCTCCAACAGGAAGTCATTTGTCTCAAGAGAGCCAGGAAAAGGAGGGGGTAAGTGCTGAGTCTGCATTGCAACACAGCCAGTGTTTTTGTGGAAACGGTGGTCCCCTAATCAAAACACAGTTGCATAAATGGACTCACTCCACTTCAAAAAGAAAAAAAAAGAAGAAATTTAAAGCCTTATAAAATAGGGACCACACAACCCTGACTAATTTTAAAGCTCTTTCTCCACTGTCTTTTTTAGAAAGTAGCTAAAAATAAAGGCTTGAAACTTGAAATAATGTAAGCAAGTAATCACACACACACGCGCGCGCGCGCGCACACACACACACACACACACACACACACAGGGCTTTTCCCATATATGGCTGCATTATTCTTCAGACTTTGAAAAGGCCAAATGAAGAGATGGCCAACAACCAAAATAATCCTTCAGACATTTGAAAACTAGGAGAAAGAACTAGAAGAGTGGGTGAATGACAAACAATTGCAAGGCTCCATGGGGGTAAATAACACTGAGAGGGATTAGTTGCCATAGTATTTTAAAAACATGGGCACATGCATTTTGACACCAGACCCCTTCTATAAAGAAACTGTTTTGCCCTCTGGCCTCAGCACTGAGAAAACTACAACTGCGGTAATTTAACATAAAGGACTTCAAGAAGGAAACCAGTGCAGGGGCATGACTGAAAATTTAATTAAGGCCCTTCTCAGCGTGAAATCTGTAAAGGAGATGAGGGCACATCTCAAGGTCAGAAGAAAGGGAAGGAGACGTGTGAAAAGGGATGAGGGTGAGGATTCGGATGAGCACATCCACAGCAGAGGTTGGCTCTGGAGGACAGCTTCCTCATGGGGATGAGGGGGGCTTATTACAGGGCCTAGTGGGTGCTACTTGAAGTGTTTCTGCAGAAAAGATTAACCCATTCATGTCAAATAAATGCCATCTTGAGTGAGGCAGGCCGGAAAAGTCACATTTGCATGGTGTTGTGTGCTTTACCAAGCCTTGTCATAGACAATCCTGGACACAAGGTAAAGCACCTGCTTTTACTGATACAGAAACTGAGGCCCACGGAGGTAAGTGACCTAACACAAATCCATGACAGGTGACGTAGTGCAAGTGGCCCAGAGCAGCGATTCGAAGCAAACTCTCCCAAAATGCAGGCTGGGGCTATTTCCACTCACAAAACCTCAGACGCAGCCCTGGTCAGAGTGCCGAGTTTAGGTATGGATTTCGGCATATCCACTACCTCTATGACCGTGCACAAGTAATTTCCCCTCTTCTGATTCAGACCCTCAACCAGAAAATGACAGGGCAGGTGTGCGTAGGCAGCGAGAGAGACGAATGCGACCTGCGTGAGTTACCCCGCTCTCTGCACGTGTCTGTGAGTCTGTCCTCACAAGCCCCCAGATGGGACTGTCGGGTGCTCTCACTGCTCCCCTAACTAGACAGCCTTCCTGCTACAGACTGAGATACACACACGGAACCCAGAGAAATGATTTCCAAAAAGTAAGACCAGAAAACCTCCAAAAGCATAGTGACGAAAACTGGTGAAGAGGCAACACGAATTGAACATTTTCATCCCACTGCTTTTTTTCTCTCTTGCTCTCTATGGGTGGACCTTCCCTATGATGCCTCAGATTCTTTTTTCTGAAAAGACACCCCACTGTCTGGAAGACACTGTGCACTTCCAATGGACTTCCCATGCATGCCCAGAAAGCCTTCTATTATTTGGCTTCTACTATTTATTATTTCTTAATTATTATTAAGGAGTCAGTAATAATAAACAACAGCAACAAAACTAGCAGCACCATTTACTGAGGGCTGTGACGTACCAGGCACTGTCGCTAAGCCCTTTCTATATAACATCTCTCGTCTCTACTGCTACCAGCTGAGGTCGGTATTCTTGACTCCATTTTCTAGATAAGAAAACTAAGGCTCAGAGAAGTTTAATGACTTGGCCAAGGAAGGCCATCTTAATAACTGCCGGGCTGGGATTTAAGCCGCTGTCTGGTTGGTTCCAAAGCCCGTTCTCTCTTGTTCTACTCCATCACGAGGCCCCTAGTCAACATGCTAAATGCTAAATCAAGACTCTGGGTAATGCTGCTTGTTCAGGATTTCTTCTCGTCACCATCCTGCAGAATGGGATCTCCTCCAGGTGCTCATAAAGAATTCCCACTGAAATACCAGGGAAACTGGAGGGTAGAGAGGGTGGAGAAGAGGTGGGCTGGGATGACCCCAAATACTTTCCCACTGCACCACTGGGATCGGGTCCAGAATTGTGATTTCATTCCCAGTCACTAACCTGGTGAGGCACGAGCCCGAGAGAGGTTGGAGGCTCATTCATGCGGTCGTCACTGCTGCTGGCAATGGCGTAGCCCCTGAGAAAAGGAAACCATTAGAGCTGTTCATTTCATTAAAATCTATGTTTAATTCCTGTGAGGACGATCTGGAGGAGGTCCACATAAGATTTATAAGGATAACCGAACACCCCTTGCTAGGCAGCATAAGTTAGGGGAAAAAAAAAATCCTAATTTCCCTGGGAGGAAGGCAGAAGAATAGTTTAAAAAAGAAAAAGCTTGTGTTTTAGAGTCAGAAAGACCAGAGCTTGTGAGCACAGGCAAGTTGCTTAATTTCTCTGTGCTTCAGGTCCATCACCTATAAAATAGGAATAAGACAGTTGTGAGAAATGAATTAGGAGTAAGTTAGATAAATTGCCAAGTGCAACATCTGGCTAATGTTAATTCCCTTACTCTCAAATAGTCTCATAAAACACCACAGCACGTTGTTGAATTGAATTGAAATTTTGAAACAGAAAACCTTCCAACCTTAACTTGCTGAGGTGATGTAAATGCTACCACGATGGAGGAAGGAGAAAGAAAAGCGAGGGATTAATTGGGCAGAACGAATACTCCCTCCCGAATAACAGTCTGATGTTTACTTATGTTACAGAAGAGACGTGACACAGACCCTGATTTTAGCCTATGACCAAGGCAAATGTGGCAGACAGAGGGGTCAGTGTCAAGGACTCAGAGCCAGCTCTGAAAGATTTTAACCCAATAAACATAGGTGCCAGGGGGATGACAAAGATGAGAGGAAGACAAAAAAAGCTGCTTATTTTCATTTAACTCTGAAGCATCTATACTGTTACCTATGCTACCAACATAGTACAGAGGCTATCTTTTCAACTTCAGAGAAGAACTCTGAGTTATACGGTAAATAGAATATTCATGTTGATTTCTGAGAACTTGAAAAACAAATCTTTCCAAAATTCAATTCTTTCCTGCCTGTATTACAAACAGCATAGCCGAGTGATTAAAAACAGAGTTTGGAGCCAAACTGGGCTGTGCTTAATCCCAGCTTTACTACTTATCAGCTACGTGAATTTCAGCAACTTAGTTATCTTCGCTATGCCTCAACTTCCCCATCAAAAATGGGACAGATAAGAGTTCTTTCCTAATCTGTTTGCTATGAGGATTAAATGAATTACTATTTGTAAAGTGCTTAGAATAATGCCTAGCACAACGTAAGCACTATGTAAGGGTTGAAAATAAGACAAGTCACAATGTGTTTGTCACACAGTGAGGTGTAAATACCTGTTTGGCTCCAGTCTGCCTTCACTATATCACACTTGAGAGCACGGTCTCCAGCGGATATCGAGAGAGTCTTAAGTTGTTTACTAAGTTTTCTTTTGCTTCTCTCTTTTCTTCATTTTCTTTCCTTTCCTTTTCTCTTCTTTTCCTTCCTTCTTTCTTTTTCTAAATTACTGACTCTATTTTTTAAAATTAATTTAACTTTCGTCTCACTTTTATTTATTATAAGATGAATTACTTCTGTTGTTTATAAGTCATAAAGTAAGATCTTCTCCTTGCTTGGAGAAGAGAGGGTGTCTAGACCACAATTGTGCTAATTTTTATATCTGTAATATAACATATATACAATGTGTTACACATTAGAGACTACCGAAAGGCCCAAGGTCAAGTTGAAACAAAACACACCAGCCTACTCCTTGCCTTCCTCTCACATGCAAGCCTAACCCTATGAGTGCTTAATAAATTAAAAAATATTTTTATCACTGGTGTGGCATTGGTGGACTAAGTGGTCCGGACCAGTCCCCCCACTGAGAACAAATAGGAAAGCTAGACAAAGTACACAAACCTCTGTTTGAAAGCATCAGAGCGCTACCACAGTAAGGGAGAATTACAGAGCTAAGGTTTATAAGAGGAGGGAAGCCCACAGAGGTAAATCAGGCATTTGCAAGGGGAATTTTCCCCCATAAAATGATTGTCAATGTCCAAAAGCAGTGGCCACAAGCTCAGAAGCTGAACAGTGATACTCACTGACTCATGAGGCTGATGGGAAAATCCAGAGTTGAGGTCTGCCAATAAGGAGGAACCATGGAAAATATCCAAGGCTTTGGATTGGGATCATACAGGGGTAGATCCTCAGACTAACGGTGAACCGGAAATAGATAAGCCCTAATTGGATAAAATGTTCTAGGATGGTAGTCCCCTTGGCCTAGCAGTTTGCCAGAAAGAAATGTAAATCACATCTCTATAATTTTTCAAATATAATGTCCAGTACTCAATCAAATATAGCCAAGAAGATACAAGGAATTGAGGAAATTTAAATATTGATTGGATATGTGGTAATATTAGGGAATTGCCTTTAATTTGTTTTTATATGTAAAAATAGTAAAGATACATACTAAAAAGATATATTTTTATGAATGAAAGCTATGTCTTGGATTTGCTTTAAAATAAGTCAGTGGAAGGAGAAAAACTGTGGACAGTAGTACAGATAAATGATGACTGGTAATTGTTGAAGCTGGATGGTGCATACAAGGTGGTTTCTATATATATACACAAATTGTGTGTGTGTGTGTGTGTGTGTGTGTGTGTGTGAGAAAGAAGATATCTATATCTATATATCTATATCTCTATCTATCTATATATATCTTTTCATATGTTTGAAATTTCCATAATGAAAAGGTTTTGTTTTTTTTAAAAAAACCCAAAACCAGATATATGAGGAGACAATACATAACCAAAAGCCAATAAAAACAATAGACAATAGGAACAGACTCATAGGAGATCCCATTAATGGACATAACTGATAAGGACTTAAAAGAAAAACATGATCAAATGTATTCAAAGAATGAAAAAGACCAAAATCACAATTTTGGCAGAGAAGAGGGAATGTATAAGATAAGATCAGATGGAAACTCTAAGAGTGAAACATATAATTATGAAATTTAAAACTCAATGGATGGTTTAAAACATAGACACAGAAGAAGGAAGAATTAGTAAACTGGAAGATAAGCCAAAACCAAATAGCCAGACTGAAGTAAGGAAAGACAAAATTATGGAAAGTACAGAAAAGAGCATAGACTGATTCTAACATGCAACTGGGGACTCAAAAGGAAGGAATCAAGAAAGGGGCAGAAGCAATGTTTTAGGACATAATGGCTGAAAATTGTCCACAGCGGGTGAAAAACATCAAGCTATGGATTCAAGGGGCACTAAAAAGCACAATCAGAATAAATACAGAAATAGGTATACAATAATAAATAACAGAATTAGGTATGTGTTCCCAACTTCTGAAAACCAAAGACAATGAGAAAATCTTAAAAGCAACTGAAGGTAGGGGAAGAGGGACAAAAACAAATTGTATCAAAGGAGTAGCAATGAGGTATACACCTTACTCCTCAATCAGGATAAGGGCAGCCAGAGACAACAGGAGTGCACTCTCAACTTGCTAAAGGGAAATTACCACCAGTCTGGAATTCTGTACGCAGCAAAAATAGCTTTCAAGCGCAAAGATAAAACAAAGACATTTTTGGACAAACAAAAACTGAAATATCTTTGTCGCTAGCATTTCTAAAGGCAATAATGAAGGGTATTCTTCAGGCAGAAGGAAAATGCCCTTGGATGGAAGTTCAAGGTCACAGAAAGAAAAGTAACAAAAAGGAAAATATTAGCAAAATGAAATGAATACCAACTATATAACAATAATAATATCTTCTAGAGTTTAAAATACATACAGAATTTTTTTTTTTTTTTGCGGTACGCAAAAAGGTCACTGTTGTGGCCTCTCCAGTTGCGGAGCACAGGCTCCGGATGCGCAGGCTCAGCGGCCATGGCTCACGGGCCCAGCCACTCCACGGCATGTGGGATCTTCCCGGACTGGGGCACGAATCCGTGTCCCCTGCATTGGCAGGCGGACTCTCAACCACTGCGCCACCAGGGAAGCCCCAGAATTGTTTTTAAATGAATGTGCAGACAGTACTGGGCGCCTGCCCAATGTATTCTCCACTTCTATCTCATCACAGTTTCACTGAGAGAGGCAACATGCCCAGCCAAAGGACTACATTTGTCCATCTTCCTTGCAGTTACGAATGCAAGGTCATGTGATGTAGGAGTTTTAGAATCAATGGGTAAGTCTTCCCGGAGAGCCTTTTAAAAGGGGGCAGCCTCAGCTGAGTACAACTTTCATCCTTTGGTCATTCCTTTCCTCTTACGTGTAACACAGAAGCAACACTGTTGGCAGAGCAGCCATCTTGTGACCACAGGTGACAAGCATAAGGAAGGGAGCTAAGCGTGGCTGAGTGAGTGCTAAGGAAACAGTCCCCGATGGCATATCAGAGCCTTTGTACCAGCCCTGGATGCTGCCTCTGAGCTTCTTGCCGCATGAGAAAAATCAAGCTGTACCCTTTGGGCTAAGTCACTTTACATGGATCTGTTACATACAGCTAAATGCAATTTCTATCATATGTAATTCACGTATTGCCTTACAAGTGCTCAGGGCTAAGGAGATCAAAACATATTAAGAGAATAAATGCATGAAGGTCCTAAGGCCACTACCAAAATTTTTATCCTTTCTTATTATCAATTACCAATTAACTCTAGGAGAGTTCAGTTCCAGAAGGATGCAGAGATACAGCTCCAAAGATCACAATGACAAGTTCTCCAGGCCAAAGAATCACACTGGGTTTTTTTAAAATCTTGTTTTTTTGAGGATGGAAAGCGCAATATAATTCTCAGAAAATTCAAACTGAGACAAGGCCAAGGGAGATACAAAAGCTTTCTTTGCTTAAACACCCATCTCTAAAAGGCAAACTCACCCTTCTGGATGCTGCAAAACGGAAACCATCAACTCCACCGCCAGGGCTCCTGCAATCATGGCCAGTCCTGGACGACTCACAGTGCACTGCTGGTCCAAGGTCCGGTCTCTGGTTGACTACAGAGAACAGTCACTGACGTGAATGCAAAGTTCTGTTCCACCCAACGCCAGCTGTGTGAAGCATGAAACTCCTCCACAATAAAGCTCTATCACATACCAGACGCTCACTGTTGGCAAAGATCAGTCAGCCTCACATAATACCATTTCTTGCAAGTACCAAGAAAATCAAAATATACAAGTTAGGTAACTAAATGAGGTAATACATTAAAAAGGATTAGCAGTTATAAACAAATTAAAGATGGGGGGCCTCGCTGCCTCATACATGGAGTGGCATCATGTACTCTTTTAACTGACTCAACTCTACTGTGCTTGTGAGTTGAGAGCGAGAGGCACAGAGAGGAAGAACGTTTGAACAGAGCAAATGGTCCTGCCCTCCCACCATGACTGCACTAACCCTCGGAGTGCCCGGGAGACAGAAGGACTGATCTGCTTTCCCCGCCATCCTCTGTTTCCATGTGCCCCTCACAGTGGAGGCATCTTGTCACCCTGAGCGTGATCTCAGGGCTTAAGAACAAGTATTTCTGCTACAATGTGGCTCCAAACACAAGCCTTCGTTAGTTCAACCTAAGAAATTCTAATTTTCCAACTCTGGGCAAATTTAAGGGGTTGTTAGGCATAACTTTGACTCTGAAATTTTTGCCTTATGAACAGATGTAACTTTACTGCAGCTGATCCTTAATCCTACTTGTTGGTAATAATGAAATAACAGGGTCAGCTGTATATTATAACCCATGATGGAGATAAAGCCACCCTTCTTCACATAAGAGGATATTTTTGTCTTTATACTGGGAAGACACAAAAGCCAGTCATCCAGAAGAGGTGTAAATCAGTGAGGAACACGTTTTAATAGAAGGTGAAAATGGAGGGGAGGGTACGGACAACACCTCTGCTTTGTTCTACTAGAAGTGATCGTATTTTCTGATGAAAGACCATTCCTGCTCACCCTGCTCCCATGGTAGCATTAAGAACACAGAACCTTACGTTGGAACAGTGTAGTGCTTGCTGCTCAGAGCACTTCCATGTTTGAACCAGCTTGCACTGTTATTAGTCAGGGAAAGTATTCGTCCCTCCCCTACTGGGGTTAGCAAATAAAATACAAGATGCCCGGTTAAACTTGAACTTTAAATAAACAACAAATAATCTTTTAGCATAAGCAGATCTCGAATATTGCATGGGACATAATTATACTAAAATATTATTCGTTATTTACCTGAAATTCAGAGTTAACTGGAAATCCTGTATTTTGACATGCTGAGTCTGACAACCTTCTGGGCCTCAGAGTCCCATCCTGCAGAAGCACAGGGAGCCTAACAGACTTATTTGGAATTATCCCGTGAGGCTGGACTGCAGTCTGGGTCTTCAGACTGGGTCTTCAGACTCCTCATTTAACACCCTCTTCACTAAGATACCCTAAGAATACACACAGAATACAGCGCTAAGCGCTGCCAGGAACCAATCTAGCCTGCGGTTTCCTTGCTGAGCTTTCCATAAAAATGGTTTGTTGCTGCGTTTACATTGGCGAACAGGGAAGAGCTGTACACAGTTGATGATGTCAAACAAGGCTCATAGAGGGATAAGGCCCTGCCCCGCCCCCCAAATGGAGAATTTTTCTCTTTGCTAAAAGACAATATCTAAATAGTCGTAAAGGAAAGAACTGGGTCTCTCCACTCTAGTGGGCAAGACGGTTGTAGGAAATATTTGGAATAACAAAGAAATACACTTACATCTCCCGGGGCCACCACATCATTGCAGAAATAGCAGCCAAGTTTGTAGCCAGGGATGTTGGCAAAAAGTGATGGGCCCAGGAGGTCGGCAGGTGCCACAGGGCGGCTGGGACACAAGTCCCCGGCTCCCTGCAGCTTAGGCTTCTTCAGGCCATGTCTCATAACAACAAATGTGTCAAACCCCAAGGCAGCATTGATGACCAGCTGTGAGTTTCAAGGAATAAAAGGCTAGAGTTAAGAGACACATATTTTAAGCCATGGCTAACTTCATATTTGGTCCACTTAAAAAATTTATTTTATAAGTGTTTGCAATAAATGTTTGCATATGACTATAATTAGATTCTAGAAGCTAATGTTGGTAAAAGTTACCCAAGACTGAGGGCTTATTAAATGCAAAAGACTTGACAAGTGATTAACATAAATTATCTCATTTGGTTTCATTTAAAATTCCCAGCAAACATTTCCTATTTACAGATGAGGATACTGAAAGTCAGACGGGTTACTTCTATAACTTGCCCAAGGTCACTTAGCTGGTAAAAGGTAGGTGTATAAAACTGTCTCGGTAGTTCTCAAACCCATTCTTTCCAGCATTATGCTGTCCTCTGTCATTTCTACAGAGATTTTTTTTCATAATAGCTTTATTGAGATATAATTCACATACCATATAATTCACCCTCCACATAGGATTTTTTTTTAATATTTTCTTTCTTTTAAAAAATTTATTTATTTATTTATTTATTTTTGGCTGCATTGGGTCCTGGTTGCTGCGCACAGATTTTCTCTAGTTGCGGTGAGCAGGGGCCACTCCTCGTTGTTGTGCGCAGGCCTCTCATTGCGGTGGCCTCCCCCATTGCGGAGCACGGGCTCCAGGCGTGCGGGCTTCAGTAGTTGTGGCTTGCGGGTTCTCGAGCGCAGGCTCAGTAGTTGTGGTGCACGGGCTTCATTGCTCTGCGGCATGTGGGATCCTCCCAGACCAGGGCTCGAACACATGTCCCCTGCATTGGCAGGCGGATTCCCAACCACTGAGCCACCAGCGAAGCCCCCCACATAGGTCTTTGAGGACAATTTTTTTCATTTATACTGTAAGAACATCTCTTAGTTGTAATTTAACTTATTCTCCCAAATTTATGGTTAGACAGAAAGTTGGAAAAAATCAAGGAAAACCATACCAGAAAACAAAAATCACTCACAATCTCACAGCTCAAACAATTATTATTAATAGTTTGAAGTATTTCCCTGTTATTTTCTCTCTCTCTCCCATTCCCTTCCTCCCTTTCTCCCTTCTTCTTGCCACCCTTTGATAAACGTAGATATCTTTACATATATAAACAGAGTTGATAAAAAATATATATACAATATTATATCTTGCTTATTTAACATAATGTGGTATTTTCCATGTTATTAAAATTCTTTGAAGACATAACCGTGAACGGCTGCATACTATTCCGTCACACATATGTACTGTGATTTACTGGGTTGACCAAAAGGTTCGTTCGGTTTTTTCCGTAAGATGACTCTAGTAGCAGTTAGTTGTCTTTCACGTCATTCGAAACAATTTTGTTAGATTGTATGTGACAGCTGTCATATCAGCATGTGTTTAAAAAAAGACATCAAAATTAGTGAATTTTTGTGTAGCCATTTTAATATTGAAGATGGAAGAAAAAAGCAACATTTTCGGCATATTATGCTTTGTTATTTCAAGAAAGGTAAAAACGCAACCGAAATGCAAAAAAAAAAGATTTATGCAGTGTATGGAGAAGGTGCTGTGACCGATCAAATGTGTCAAAGGTGGTTTGAGAAGTTTTGTGCTGGAGATTTCTTGCTGGACGCTGCTCCACGGTCAGGTAAACCAGTTGAAGTTGATAGCGATCAAATTGAGACATTAATTGAGAACAGTCAATGTTATACCATGCAGGAGACAGCCAACATACTCAAAATATCCAAATCAAGTGTTGAAAGTCATTTGCACCAGCTTGGTTATGTGAATTGCTTTGATGTTTGGGTTCCACGTAAGTTAAGCAAAAAAACCTTCTTGAATGTATTTCCACATGTGATTCTCTACTTAAATGTAATGAAAATGTTCCGTTTTTAAAACAAATTGTGACAGGCAATGAAAAGTGGATACTGTCCAATAATGTGGAAAGGAAGAGACTGTGGGGCAAGCGAAATGAACCACCACCAACTACACCAAAGGCCAATCTTCGTCCAGAGAAGGTGATGTTGTGTATATGGCGGGATTGGAAGGGAGTTCTCTATTATAAGCTCCTTCTGGAAAACCAAACGATTAATTCCAACAAGTACTGCTCCCAGTTAGACCAACTGAAAGCAGCACTCGACGAAAAGCGTCCAGAATTAGTCATCAGAAAACACATAATCTTCCATCAGGATAACTCAAGACTGCATGTTTCTTTGATGACCAGGCAAAAACTGTCACAGCTTGTCTGGGAAGTTCTGATTCATCTGCCATATTCACCAGACATTGACCTTCGGAATTCCATTTATTTAGGTCTTTACAAAATTCTCTTAATGGAAAATTTCAATTCCCTGGAAGACTGTAAAAGGCACCTGGAACAGTTCTTTGCTCAAAAAGATAAAAAGTTTTGGGAAGATGGAATTATGAAGTTGCCTGAAAAATGGCAGAAGGTAGTGGAACAAAAGGGTGAATACGTTGTTCAATAAAGTTCTTGGTGAAAATGAAAAATGTGTCTTTTATTTTTACTTAAAACTGAAGGCACTTTTTGGCCAACCCAGTGTTTAAACATTCAGTTCTTTTGGCCCTTGAAGTTGTCACTGACCCAACAATAGTGAATGAGACAAAATCTTTGCCCTCTTGGAGCTTACATTCTATTGTTAAGTAGAGCGTCCCTTCCAGTAAAGGACCTCACAGGGTGGTTATGAAAATTAAACAGTAAAGGGTAACAATTATGCTGGATGATGGTGCATAAGGCAGAGACAGTCTCTGGAGGAAGCCCTCTTGTACCAGGTCACTAGGCCACACAAAGCACCTTCTGCTCTGGAGGGGGCAGATTGGGGACACTTCCGCCTGGGGAGATGATGCATTAAGTCACCACCAGAGGACCCACACTCTACCTTTCTCTTGCTCGCGGCGATGACGGCGGGCAGCCATCGGCTCTCCCGGGTGTCCATCAGCAGGAACACGACATCATGGCCTTCGACGAGCTGCTCTAGCCGCTCCACATCCCTGCGGGCCTGCTCCAGGGTGACGCTGGAGAAGTTCACTGGGTGTCCCGGCATGGGGATGCTCATGTTGAACCCTCTGGCGTTCTGGGGACACACCAGAGAGAGGGGGGTCTGAAGCAAAGGGACAGGTGGGATCTCAGAGCCCGCATCTCCCGGTCACCGCAAGCATGCACACATGGTCGCTTACAGCCTGAAATCTCTCCGTCATGACCACTCTGCCTTAGCCTTCTGCTGCCTGTGCCCCCAACCCTCTTCACCTCTTCAACCTAGACCACGCTTTCCTGTCACCCAGGGTCTCTGAAGCTGGACAGAGCAGCAAACAGAGACACACGGATCCTAGTTCCAAAGTGGGTGGGGGGCACTTCCCGTGTGAGAAAAGGTGAACACTGGAGAAAACTGTGTACCTTTGGCTCTTTCCTACAATCTGAGGCCAAGAAACTTCACCAAAATGCCCTCTGCCTGCCCAAGTCCCTCCATCCAGCCAAGCTGTCTCTCCCCACTTATTCCCAAGCTGCCCTCCCCTCCACTTCCTTACAGTAGAATACCTCCAAATGGGATGTCAGAACAAAAATAATTTGATAAATTCATATAAGATTAGAATGGCTGCTAGTCTTGCCTTAATCTTCTTAGGAGTATATGCATTAAAAACAAACAAAACCCTCAAAACCAAAAAACTCTACTTGCTGACTTGAACTAGAAAACTGACTTAGGAGTGTATAGATATTTGTTTGGGGGGTGGGTGACAGCTATGTGTGGTAGTGAAGCTTCATTTCCTGTCCAAAAGCAGAAGCTGCCCAGCAACCTGGGTTCCCTTTGAGTGTGGGGACTCAGCATTTCTCATGGGGGCTTTAGAACAGCTCTGTAATTTACCTTTTGTCCCCTGCTGGCTCCACAATGTCTTGGCAGATGAATTGTGAGTCACAAAGGAGTGCCAATGGGCTAAAAAGTGCATGCAATAAATTGGGACAAACATTTCTTTCTGAGACCACAGTCTTTCACTACATATTGTTCTGTGTCTCAAGAGTCATTTTATATAATCTACCCAGGTGCAGAACTTTTAGGTGCATAATGGTAGGAGAGCTAGTCTATCAGTTACTCTTCAGGGTTGAAAGCAGATGTCCAGAGCTGGGTTTTAAAACCCCTAGTGTGGCTCTACAATCCTACATTTTATTGCTTTACCTTTGGGAGAAAAAAACTGGTGACCTCAAATAGTTATTTGATTTATTAAAGGTCAGGGTTTTTTCCTATTCAATTAATTCAACCCCAGGATTAGGCATGGTATTTGCAGCCGAGCAGTTCTTTTCATGTCTTCTTCACTTAGGACTAGCCTTCTGTCCATGGCCTGGTGTAAGGAGGGTGATGAGTAAATATTTGTTGAATGAAAATATCAACAATATTGACTGTTGAACACACAAAGAAAATTACATAAGCCTGGCTAACCAATAAGTGAAACAGTTTCACAAGTACTTTTCACGAATTTGATGAATTACACTAGTACTTAGATGCATTCTGTGTTATCTATTATTACTTATAAGGCATGAAGGATAAAAGTATAAAAGACCTGGCTCCCAGTGGTAAGGAATGCATAATCCAATAGGTAAAATGGAGTAACATGATGTAGGTGCTGAGGAAGAGGCTTGATCCTGGTAGGCTGATGTTTTCAAGAAAAGGTGAACTTGATCTCTAAGGCCCAGCATGACCTGGCCTTTGCTGACACGGACGCCCTAGCTCTGTGTCTTTCTTGACCTCCATGCTTCAGCCAGCCTGGTTTTCTTTCAGTCCACAAAGGCAGCATGCTGCTTCCTACCTCAGGCCTCTGCACAAACAGCTCTGCCCCGCTTGGTCTAGCTAGCTCCTACCCACGCTTCAGGACTCAGCTTCCTCAAGGAAGCCTGGTTTAGGTCAGGCCTACCTGTTAAACATTCTCACAGCAACTGAGCTCCTGCCTCGTGCACTTGTTACAAGTGTAACCGTTTAGGAAATTAGTTTATTGACCCCAGCTAGACTTGAAGTTCAATGAAAGGCAGTGGGAACTTCGTCTGCCTTGTTCCCCAGTCCCTAGCACACAGTAGGCCTTAAATAAATATGTGAGGAGTGAGTAAGTCATAGAATAACTGAACAAAGAAATAGGGGGAATTGCATTGAGTCATAGACCATGGCTAGGATTTGGGCAAGCAAAACTTTCAGGCAGAGCTCAGATTCAAAGCCAGGTCTGTCTGGGCCCAGAGGGGAGTTCACAGTACTCTCTGGTGATAGAATGAATTATTTTTCCTGACTGTGTGCACTGCCTCCCTCTAAGAGAATTATATGTCCATGCCCTTTGCCATACAACTTTGCAGGACCTCCCACTAGGAAGGCAGGGTATCCTGACCAACCCCATTGACTTAGGGCCTGGCCCTGTGACTAGCTCTGGCAATGGAGATGGAGGACACTGCACAGTGCCATTTCTGAGGTGAGACTTTAACATGTATAGGTATGGTAAGCCTCACCAACCCCTTTACACTTCTACCTTCCACCATAAGAAGAGTAGGACAGCTGACTGTTGCTCCTGGAGTGTAGATTTTGAAATAATGACATACAGAGTAGATTGGAACCTGACTCGAAGCCTGAGTCCAGCCTAGCCTACAGCTAAGCTATGGCTAACCTGCAGACCCATGAGCATGAAATAATGTTTATGATCGTAAGCCATTTAGATGTTGGGAGTATGTGATATGCAATATTGTCACAGCAGAAACCTAACTAAGATGCCTCCTCAATGATGGGGTGTAACATTCTTATCTCTTCTGGCATCCAGCACCTCACTGGGTACAGTGGGTGTTCAATCAATACTGTTGAAGTAAACCCAATAAATGACATTCCTCTGGTACACTGATGAAATGGGCAAAACAGTCAAAGTTGCTTTTAAAGCAAAGACTGTTAAAATGAATGAATCTAATGCTGAGTGACTAAACAGAGAAATTTTGAGAAAGCAGGTTTTTTATTTTTAGCCAGGGCCAAGAGTCTCTTGTGGCACTTTAAGTACAAACAGATACTTCAGAGACACCTGATCTAACCTCTGTCACATAAACGGATTAAGCATGCAAGCTCCAGAATGTCTTTTGCTGGATGACCCCAAAAACACTGGCAAATTTCGAATCAAATGAGCTGAATGACTTGCCTCATTGTTTTTAAAATAAATGATGAAAGTCAAAAATAAGAAGCAGCTGGAATAAAAAGCTAAACATTAGCCAGATCTTTCTTCTGCAGACTTACGTTCAATTTAATTTCATAAACCTGTACTAACTATCAAGTATTCTGGTGATGAGGAAAATAATATCCTACATCTGAGCCACCATAAACCCCTTTGGAACAAGGCAGTATCTAAAAATATTTGTACCCCAAATTCCCCGACTCAGATAATGCTTTGCAACTTATAAAACATTCTTTTCATGTAATCATTTTATTTTCATAATAATGTATGAGAGTTTTGTTCTTGTAATCTCCATCTCTGAGATGAGGAAACAGAGGTTTGGCCACATGATGAGGGCCTGGTAGTAAGTGACAGATGTCTGACTCCCTTTCACCAATACCACAGGGCCTCATTCCCCAAGACTTAAACACTGAAAGATCCAGGAGAAAACCTCAGACGTTCTCAAACAGCATCCACGTACCACTCCGGGGAATATTTTCTGGAGCCGGTCTGCTGCAGCCAGGGCCTTGGGCTTACCACCCGCCAGGCAATCTTCAAATTCATACAGAGGCTGCCTCACAGGGTTGGAATAGGAGATCTTGGCATTGTCCACAAATGTGATGTGTCTGACGCCCCAACCCTGCATGGAAACAGGAGATCATGGTGTGTTTCTGATGAACATTTCACAGGGTGTCTCCCTTGAAATCCCTAAAAGGGTTTTATTTTGGAGCAGCTTGGGAACCTCAAAATACAGGAAACTCCAGAAATTGAATTGTGCAAATTCAGTTTTTGACAGTGTCAATTTCCTTTAAAAGACAAAATAATTATACACACAGTGCCTGGCTTCCTACAGTAATGAGACTAAGAAATGTCATTGTGGGTCTGACTAATAATTCATTATTTTTGACAGTGGCACCAGAGGAAGCTTTGGGGGTGAGTCCCATAAGAACTGTCCCTGTTACTGTCTTAAAAGGATTAGCAAGAGCCACTCAATGTCCTTGCTTTCCGTGAATGAATAAGTAAGCATAAGTAACATCTCATCCTAAAATTCACTTAAAGCCTGAATTAGCTCCTCGTAAAAGTGACTTATAAGTTATTTCCAATTGTACAACATCATGGAAGATTTTGTACTTTTTCTCCAAGAGGCAAAGCCCTTATTAATATTCTGGAATGTAGGGGAAAATTCTACATTCTCAGAGATAGTTTTCATGATTTCATACACTTCAATTCCATCTCCTATAAAGTCTTATAGAACCACATGATTTTAAAATTAGATAGGCTCTTTAAAATCTTTAGTTCAATTACTTTATTTTACAGATACAGAAACTGAAGCCCAGAAAAGATAAGTGACTTATCTTAGGTCACAGATCTGGTTAATGGAGGGGAGGAAATGAGATCCTCAGAGTGGCAACCAAATGAAGGTGCGTACTTTCTGGGGTGAGATGGGGTATGTGTATTTCAGTAAACCATAAACAAGCACAGTGATGTAAGAGAAGCCCTGCCAGGATTGGCTGCAGAGTTAAGAGTCTGATCTCTGTCTTATTTCAATATCCTTCCATTAGGGACTTTGAAATTCAGTTAGTCTGATGATTCCAGGGGCACACTCAACAACAACCCAAGATTCACTGTCGGGGTGGAGGATGATAGGCCAGAATCCACTCTTTTGAAAGCATAGTTTAAGTCAGCTGTTTGTTTTGAAGCCCACTGGTAACTTTGGTCTACCCACCCAGTTTTATAAGTGACTTTCACCAGGTAAGCAAACTACCATGGAGGGGGAATAAACATATGGAATATCCAAAACTCAGTGGTGCTTGGCTTGGGGATATTTATTTCGGGAGTATTTTTGCATTTTAAAGCAATGCTGAGTGGAGAGCAAGGAAGGCAGTCTGGGAACATGCTTGGCGGTGGGAAGAAAGCTACATAAATTACAAACATGCCACAGGTTAGTCACATGCATGTGGACTCTCACACTTAACTTTCAGTTTCCTGTAATGCTACACAGTTTAAATGGCTAATCTGTAAAGATTAAAGAAAATTACAATACTCAGTGCTGGTGAGGATGGGGTGATGAAAAAACTATTTTACCGATTGAGAATGTAAACTAGTATAATTCTTCTGGAAAGCAATTTGGCAATAGGTTTCTAGAACTTTTTAAATGTTCATATCCTTTGACCTACTTCCAGCAATCTGTTTTAGGAGATGATCTAAAATACTGACAAAAATGCAATCACAAAGATGTTCTCTGTAACATAATTTAGAGTTGTAAAAAACTAGAAACAATGTTAATGTCTAACATTAGGGGAATGTCACAGTAAATCATGTTTCATCATACAAGAAGGCATACTCTACAGCCATTAAGAAAGCTTTTTAGGTATCCTTTTTAATGACATGAGAAAGTGTTTACAATGTTAATTGGTAAAAGCAAGGGGCATTTTTATATATCAAATAAGATTTTTAAATATACATTAAACAAACACTGAAAAGAAGTGAAAATGTAGTCGAAAAATGGGTCTTCTTTTCTTGCTTTACAACTCTTATACTCTACAAATTTTCTACAATGGGACTATAATGACTTTATAATTTTAAAAATGCTAAGAAAACTTAAGTACCTAATTCTGGAAGTTAGGAAAAGAATGAAATAAATTCCACAAAAATGGAGAAGAAAATGAATAAAGATAAAAGTAGATATTAATGAATCTGGAAGCAAAACAAAACAAAAATTATGGAATAAAGAGATCAAGGATTTAGTTCTCTGGAAAGACTGATAAAATAGACGAGCCTCTCTGGCAAGTTTGAAAAAGAGAAAACACAATTATTCAACATTAGGAATAAGGAGAGATAAAAGAGAGGATAAGGCTTCCCTGGTGGTGCAGTGGCTGAGAGTCCACCTGCCGATGCAGGGGACACGGATTCGTGCCCTGGTCCGGGAAGATCCCACATGCCGCAGAGCGGCTGGGCCCGTGAGCCATGGCCGCTGAGCCTGCGCGTCCGGAGCCTGTGCTCCACAACGGGAGAGGCCACAACAGTGAGAGGCCGGCGTACCGCAAAAAAAAAAAAAAAAAAAAAAAAAGACAGAGAGGATAAAGAGAAGATTTAAAAGTTGGTAAGAAGGGCTTCCCTGGTGGCGCAGTGATTAAGAATCTGCCTGCCAATGCAGCGGATTTGGGTTCAAGCCCTGGTCCAGGAAGATCCCTCATGCCCTGGAGCAACTAAGCCCGTGTGCCACAACTACTGAGCCTGCACTGTAGAGCCCATGAGCCACAACTACTGAAGCCCGTGCGCCTAAAGCCCATTCTCCGCAACAAGGGAAGCCACCGCAGTGAGAAGCCCGCGCACCACAACGAAGAGTAGCTCCCACTCGCTGCAACTAGAGAAAGCCTGCACGCAGCAACAAAGACCCAACACAGCCAAAAAAGAAATAGAGAAATAAAGAAGTGCATTTTAAAAAAATGAAATAAAATAAAAGATGGTAAGAGAATACCACATGTATTTTATATCAATTAATTTTTAAATTTAGATGAAATGGATGATTTTCTAGGAAAACAACATGACTAAACTGACTCAAAAGAGGTATAAAATCTAAAAAGGTCAATGACTATAGAAACATTTGTAAAAGTTCCCAAAGATTCCCTGCCCTCACTGCCAAGAGAATTCCAAAAGACATCAGGCCCAGATGGATTTATAACTGAATTTTGCCAAACCATCAAGGAACTGATAAGTCATACACTTAAACTGTCCTGGAGCATAGAAAAAGGCAGAAAGTTTTATTTTATAAAAGTAGTATAACTCAGCTATAAGATATACGACACCACAAAGAAAAGGAAAAAACATTACTATAAACCAACTTGACTTATGAATGCGTATGTAAAACCTAGCAATAAAACATTACCAGTTGAATCCCATAGTATATTAGAAGAATAACATACCATGAACAAATAGGGTTTTTTCCAGGAATGCTCAACATTAGAATATGATTATCTTGATAGATATATTTGATAAAGCTTAGCAATCATTTCTGATGTAAACTCATAGTAAACTAGAAATAAAAATCTGCCTCCTCAATTTATAAAAGAGCATTAGCAGAAACCAATATCACATATCAAAATTAAAGGAAAAAAAAAGAAGTTTCTCATTAAAAATCAGTAACAAAATGAGGATGCCAAATCTCACTATTCCTCAGCAAAACCATGGAGTCCTAGCCAGTCCTAGAAATAGGTATAAATGTTGGTGAGGAATACTTATCAACCTAGAAAATTCTAAAGAATCAAACAAAAAACTAATATAACTAAGAAAGTTTAGAAAGATGGCCAGATAGAATATCTTTCTTGTATATCCCAGTAATAGTCGACTGGAAATTTTAGTGGGAAGAACATATCTTTAAAAGAAAAAAAACAATTAAACATGTGAAAATAAACTAAATGAGGCATGTGTGAGACCTAAATAAAGAAAATGCTACAAAGATGATCTAAATAATTTAAGAGATATACAATGCTTCTGGAACTAAGGATCAATATTACAAAGATGTCAATCCTTCCCAATTTATCTATAAATTCATTGTAATTTGAGTTAAAGCTGTGAGTAATAATGCAGGAACAAATAAATGGAATGATGGAACAAGACAGAATCCAAAAAGAGACTCAGGTACATAAGGAGATTTAGTATTTGATTAAGGTGGGAAAATGATGATTTGTATTATTGAACGAATGCCATTCAATCAAATGACTATTCACTTTGTGGAAAAGAAGTTAGATATTTAACTCTCATCATAAAACAAAAATAAATTCCACATTGATAAAGATCTAAACATAAAAACAAGAGTTCTGTAAACCGTAAAGAAAAAGATTGACATATTTAATAACATCAAATTTTTAAAAACCTTTATGTGGCTAAAGATAACTTAAATTGAGAAAAATATTTGCATTATATTACAGAAAAAAGGTTAATATCCATTAAAAAAAGAACTCCTAGTCAATATATAAGAAACACAGCCCAAAGGACATAAATAGAAGAAATAAAATTCACGAAAGAAATAAAATTAAATACTAACCCTCACTAATTAAAGAAATGCAAAGTTAAAAGCTCTGTTTTACATTCTAACACAGTAATTCTACTTCTAGGGCTTTTTTCCTAAAGAAATAATTCCACGGACATGTAAAGATATAAGCATGTTCACTTCAACAGAATCTCTAAAAGAAAAATATGCTGAAATTGATTAAATAAATTGAGGACAAGACATATAATAAAATCCTACATATACATAATATGGAATACATAGAAAGAGAACCACAATTATTGTTATATTAAGTTAAAAATAAAAACGTGCTACAGACAGTATGCTATGATCCAATTTTTGTAAATATAAATAAATAAATAAGTAAAAGCAAAGATGACAAATGTCTCTCTCTGCATTTGCACATGCCTACGAAAACTTCAGGGAAAGATGCTGTGTAATAATCTGTGAAGTCTGCTTAATTCTGGTTAAGTGACTTGGGATGGGAGTGGAGGGAGAGTTCCTGTTTCTACCTTATAATAAAAGCATGTATTCCTTTTATACTTAAAGAGATACTGAGAAAAGAAAAAAGGGAGGGAGACAGGGAGGAAAAAGAGAAGGGAGGGAGGGAGACAGAATAGGGGGAGTCTGGGAGCGAGAAGGCACTCAGGCGTAGTCGTTGCTTGGTATCCGTGGGGGACTGGTTCCAGGAGCCCCTGGGGATACCAAAATCCACAGATACTCAAGTCCCTTACATACAATACAAGGCCCTCCATATCTTTGGATGCGAAACCCACAGGTATGGAAGGTGGACTGTATAGCGAAATAAGAAGAGAAGCCACAGCTTTAGAGGTAACATCTGACCCCCACAAACTTACCATCAATGTCCTGGCTACATTACAACCCAAGGTGCCAGCTCCGAGCAGCAGACACTTGACAGACACAACCTTGTCTAAGTCCAGAGTAGGGACCAATCTCCAACACATCAATTTGAGATTTAGATCCACTGATGACTCAGCTAACCTAGAAAATGACAGAATTATTTATTTATTTAGTCAGTCACTCATTTATGCCCCAATCTTGTCCTTTTTAGATAGAAAGTAGCTGTATGAGAAAATAAGAAACAAATACTATGGAAATTAGTATCGAAGGAAAAGTAAAACAAAGCTTGAGGGTGAGCGAGGAGGAGAAAGGTGACCACACAGAACACATGCCACCATTATCCTCTGCAATTGCACAGTGATGGGCCACCAATCTGATCCTGAGCTCCCAGCAGCCAAGGTGAAATGGGAAGCATGACCAGGTGTAGGAGTTACTGTGTCCAGGAATAAAAACACACCAGCCGCTTATGAGGAAAGATTTTCCTAATACTGAAAACAGAGAAATTTCTGTCTCCTCAATAAAGGGGGTACTTACATCATGCCTTCAATACAATACTGGTTTCTGTGAAATATTTCTTATAATGTCCTTCAGTGTAGGCTAATGGACAAAATCAAAGGGCAATGAATAAAGAACTAAAAGGTGGTGTAGGTACAGAGGTCTGAGAGTCTGAGCTTGAAGCAAGAACGAAATGTACAATGTCTAGAGAAACGTGAATTGTGTGTCCTTCAGGATATCCATCATTAATATTAATTCTCACAACCAAACTTAAATCAAGAGGCAGCCAAGAGTGGATTAACACTCGTCATCAGTGTGAAGGCACCCCCTGACTGAACTGGGCAATGCTCTTGGCCTGACAGAACCTGGTGTGCACCCTGGAGAAAATGGCTTCCAAAGTATACCTTTTAGGGTCCATACATTCGCTGAGGTTCACCATCCTTGGTCCCATGCCTCCTTTCTGGTTCTTTTCCCATCCAACCGCCTTGGGACAATCTTAAGGCAAATAAAACAGTAAGTTTAGGGAAGGAGGGAAAAATAAAAAGTAAGTCAAAGCAGCAAGATGGCTCACGCATCCTTAAGCTTTCAGTTCACTTCTTTTTCAAGGAGGTTTGCAGGCCAGAATTTGCATCTACTCGCCTCAGTTGCCTCATTTTCCTGAGCCACTAGGAATCTTGTTTAGAGACCCTCAGACCCAAGCACTGCCTTCCCGCAGAAGGGCTTCAGAAACAGCCCTGGTCTCTGGCCCGAGTTGCCTTAACTTCTGTAGTTACTGGAAGTTGCTCCAAAAAAAGAATATATCTGGAGCTGGTCTAACCCTGTGAAGGGCTATCTACCTTAGGAAGACAAGCCAGTGTGACTGCAGCACACCTTCTGCTGAGTTCCCACCTGGACCTGGACCTCTCCGTTGAGCGCACCCCTTCTGCTCTTCATCCTTATGTTACCCTTCCACCCAGCCTCTCAGTTCCATCACTGTGCCTACCTGTCTCCAGACCTCAGTCCAAGGAACTGCTCTTCTGTTAAGCTGCCCTCTCCTTTAAGCACATCCTTATCCATTCAGACTTTCCTCTCCTCTGACTTTTCCCTTTCCCGCTGACCTCTTTTAACCTCTGCATTGGGTGCCTCTGTAACTCCAATTCCAGCTGTTCTCAAAATTTGCTCCATGCAAAGCTCTGAGAGGATAAAGACTCCATGGCTGACGGGCTTGGGAAATGCTTCTGTACACCTACCTGTGTTCTCCCTCTGCCCCACCACCACCCAAACCTGGAGCATCACATCGCACATGAGGGAGATAAAGCTCTGAGAAACCTGCAGTAAAGGAGCCACTTTGTCTGATTTGGCTTTGAGCTTCCCAATCTTACCTGGCTCTCCATGAACTCCCTCAACCAGTAACACCAATTAAAATCTCACAGGACACATTCAGGGTAACGCTGCTCTATTCCACTGTTGCAAAATCCTCTTAAAAATCTCAAATGCTTTGCAGAATACTTCTGCTACCTCCTCACCTTAATGGAAACCTGGCTTCCTTGGTGGAAACCTGGCCTTGTAAATCCTGCTAATGGGGGCCACCCAGTCTTACACTCCCCACACCTTGGGACCTCAGTTGCTCTCCCCTCCTCACTGAATTCCCAAAATTCACAATAAAGCCTCAACTCCTTAGCAGGGAATTCACTCAGCCACCTACCCTTCCAGCATCACCTCCAATATGTGCTTGAAGTAACAGTCTCTGAAGGAACAGAAGCTCCTTGACTTAAGGTTAAGAGATACAGGACTATGGCAGGAATTTTACATTTGTCTCTAATTGTACACTGGTATTCTTTGGACATTCTCCTACTTTTATATTTCTATCAACACCTCTATTTTCCTTTCCTTGGGAACTTTTTAGCTTTCAACCTTTGTTTCTTAACATAATACTGCCCAATATAATTATGGGCCCTAGAGTTGTTGATTTGCTTTACACAATTTTTTATTTCTGGTACAGGATGACCAATGGGAAACAAGGGGGTCAGTTATCTTCAAAAGCTACTTGGCTGAGGGTATCTTTCAGAGCAAGGAGCCGAAAAACAAATGGCCCTTCCTGTTTTAACTCAGGTGCCCTGGTGCGGTCCGTTTTTACATCACAAAAAATTAAAACTGAAATAATAGATTTGAGTTCTTAAAGAGGCTAAGAACTCCAAAATCATTTTTCTAGGGAAAAAAAAGAGTTCAAACCAGTTACTAACTCATATTTTGTTTTATTTTCTTACTATTCTCATGTTAACTTTAAAAAGGGCTTCTCTAACAGATGCACAGAAATTTGACAAGAAATTCAGAAACACAGTCTAGTACTATAATTAATAACTCCAGCCTCAGCTTTCTCCTGTTACAGATAAGAAATTATAAGACAAACACAAAATGTCATTGCAAATTAAAACATCTCTGTACTCAAGATGTTACAGACATTTTAAGAAAATTAGATGTACTTTAAACTTACTGATAATTTTAAAAAATACTATAGGTGACCATAATATTTAGTCTATCATATCTGCTTCCATATTAGACATACCCCAAATTAATGAGAAAGTATTTTTTAGGGGAAAGTTAGGCCCTGTCTTCCCCTAGCTGGACAAAGAGGAGGAGCACAGCAAGGACAGGAGGTGAAAGGAGGGCTCTCCCACCCTCAGCAGTGTCTGCGGCTTCCCTCAGCCGGCTGCTCGAACGCTCTGTATCAGCAAAGCAGAGTGAGCTTGCCTGCACCACCAAGAGCAGAAGACATAGGATATTCAAAACTGCATTTCTTATAACACTGTCATTGCAACTATGGGATGTCTTAGAAATATTAAATGACACTACCATACGAATATGTTCAGTTCACATTATGATACAGAATAACTTTACAAAGTTCTAGTTATTAAAAGGTTTTATTTACAGCTAAGAGGGAAAACATTAATTTACGTGAAAAAAGAGGAACATCTGCCTTTCTTAAACTAAATAATCTACACTCAATATCAAGTGTAAAGACTTGACAGCACTACAGCGCTACAGAAAACCTCTTTTTCGAATAGCATTGCACGGTGTTTCCTGGGTTTGCCAGCTTCACCAAGCATCAGTAATATATCACTGGGAGCAGGGAGTAAGAGTAATTCAGTGAATTTATCTTAAAAAATGGAAAGAAAAGTGCCTCCCCCAAAAGTTGGTTGGCAGGATTAAGTGAGTGACGTGTGGAAATAGCTGGTGGCCTGCCAGGTGGAGACCAGGCCGCATTACTGGTTAGTTCATGCTCACCTCATTCCCCTGGAGCTACCTTCCAGTGGCGGCTTAATGAAACATCACATGGAAGCTATTTTAGAATGTGCCAGAAGAGGGTGCTAAATCAAATGTATTAAATATCTAAAGATGGCAGAGAGGCGATAGATATTTTAAGGCTCTAAACTAACAAGTAAACAGCTTCCTCTTTTGCCTGATGAAGCAGAGACTTTAACACCCCTCACCCCCAAAACACACACTCACATTAAGGCACATGATCCCCGGATTAAAGAAAGCAATGTTCCTTGGAACAGTGCAGGTGCTGTATGGAGCAAATTAAACCATGTAGGTATGTACAGGTACTCTGGACAGCACGTAAGACATAGAAATCTGAGGGATCATCTTGGAAAGGGTTCTCGGCTTTGGGTAAGATAGGAAATTACCATAAATTATCACTTATTAAGCAACTATAATATGCCACCATTGTGTCTGTCTTTTACACAGGAGTCAGATTCCTCATAGGGGTACTCCATGAGGTGGGTATTATTACCTTTATTTTACTCCAATTTGGGTATGTTATTCTGTCTTTGTGATGTGTACATAAATATAAATATATAAATAAATGCATGTATGTATATCTACACACACACACACACACACACACACACACATCTATATATGTAACATTATCTGTGAGCCCAAGTTCCCTAACTTATGGAACAGGGAGAATAGCTGACGCCTACCACACAGGATCAGATGAGGAATATTAAACGTGGAAGGAGAAATGGCACTTTTGCTGACTGGCTTACTATACGGAGAATAAGATCACACACAACTTTTTGTAACAAATAAATATGTAGGTGCTTTAATACTTCATTCTTCCTGTAAGAAGGGTAAGGAATAAAGACTTTATGTTAAGCAAAAACAAAAAACAGAGGGAAAAAGAATTCTCAGGACTGAAAAAACTGCCTGGAGGAAATATCCTGAGGACAATCTCTGCCTTTGTTCCGGTCTGAAGAGCAGAGCATGCCCTCTGTTCGAGGGAAGAGTTCCTAGGGGCAAAGAGGTAGGAGCTGTACTTTTTTCTACCTCCATTGCCATTGTGAAAGGATGAAAGAAAAGTTAAACCTAATTTGGTTTCTGGTAAATGCTAAGTATATGCATTCTCAAAGACCGGCAAGTTACCTGGGCTAAATGCCATTTCTGGAAGCTTCACTTCGAAGATGATGCTGTGGGTGACGTCTCTCATCCCCTGCAGAGTGCGGTCCCGGAAGCAGAGGACTTCAACAGACTGGAAACTGCTACTCCTGATGTCCGGCCCAGATTTTTTTTTTATTTTTTTTAAGGAAGGAAAAGAAAGAGCTCACGTAAGAGCTTCGGCAAACCCAGGTGGAGAGGATTCAATTCATTGTAATTATGCCTCCCTGACACCCTCGGGGGATGACCTTAACCTCTGAGAGATTCTGAACATGTCCACGCAGGCTTCCTTTGTCCAAGTGTTTAGAGGCTGAGCGCTGAACTGACTATGATTTCTTTTCAGGTGAGCTTTATATAACAATTTCACATTGCACATAAATACTTCTGACAAATGAATATTAAATGCAGAAAAAAATTAAAAAGCTCACAAGATATTAAAAAGAAACTCCAAGACAAGCATGGGCTCCTCTGGTCCCCCTTCTCCCACCTGAACGTACAGTCTATGAGACGGCAGCTCGGGCAGTGGTGAGGAAGCCCACAGCTCTACAGACTCACCACCAGGACAAGCAAGTATAACACTCTCCCTCTGCGGATGACCTGTAATCTAGCTATCTTTAGTGAACACTGTTATTTAAGTAAAGCAGACACAGAGGTAAACATCCAAATCCTAAATATAACGGAGCTTGTCTCATGCCTCCTCCCAGTCAATAACCAGCCCCTTCAAAAGTAACTCCTGCTCCAACTTCGAAGTCCAGACATGGGTTTTGCCTGTTTTGACCTTTACATACATGGAACCAGGGAGCACGTATTGTCTTAGGTCCAGCCTCTTTCACTCAACATTATGTCTTTTAAATTCATCCATGTTGATATGTGTATCAGTAGTTCATTCAGATTCACTACGGCATCGCATTCCATTGCAGTGAATATACTATTTATTGTCCATTTCATTGTTCAAGGACATCTGCGTTATTCCCAGTGTTTGGGCATTAAGAATAATGCTGCTATAAACATTCCTGTATATGTTTTGCTTGCATCTGAGTATGCATTTCTGTGCTTTATATACCCGAGAGGGAAACTGCTGAGCTATAGATATTTTTAACTTTGGTGGATACTGACAAACAGTTTTCCAGCGGTATTTGAGGGTTCCAATTCATCCACATCTTTGACTTGGTATTCTCATCTTTTTAAACTCATTCTGGTGAGTATCTCATTATCTGGTGAGTATGTAGTAGTATTTCATAATGGTATCTTATTATCTTTATTAGTGAGTAGTATCTAGTTATACTTTATTTCCTTGATGATTAATGGTGTTGAGCATCTTTTCAAATGTATATTACCCTCTGTTTTATTTAGTCTAAGGTTGGGAAAAAGGGCAGATGGTAGCAACAGGAAAATCCTATCTGAAGGTGACTCAGATAGCTGAAGGGAGAGCTAGAGAATTTCAGGATGCGGACCTCCAGCTGTTGGCCCTGCCCTACTCTAAAATATCTTTAGGGCTCTATGGTCAGACTCTGAAGCTCCATAACAGACCTGCTTAGAGGCTCACCACTGATGGAAACTGGATCATGACTGATTTATTGATTTATTATCTGGTTTCTATGCCAGCAGTGAAAAAAATCCATTTGGGAAAACAGAAATATAGATATAGTTAGGCACAATGTCAAAAACATAGAGACACAGACACAGACAGACAGACGGACACACACACACACACACACACACACGTAAATACCATCTGTGGGCTGCTAGGACCAAAAAATTCCTCAAAGGCCATCCAGGGTACTGGGCTAAGTTACAGGGATCATATACACCAATAGTTATCTGTGAACAGAAAAGACTTTCTGAGTGAGGCAAGTATCATGTCAGATTCACAACACAAACACTGCTAATCCCTCCTCTTTCCTATTTATGCTGTTTTGCAAAAGCATCAACAATTAGACACTTGGTGAAGGGTTAGAGGGAAGAGAAGAAAGTCAAAGGACCTCACACCAGACAAGAGAACTTCTTGATGGCAGGGGCTGTCAAATTCTTCTCTGCACCCCCCTGTGCCTCACAATGGGCCTGGAAGAGAGTAGGAACTAGATACATTCTAGTTCCTAGAAGGAACTAGAAAGGAAGGAAGAAAGGAAGGAAGGAAGAAAGAAGGAAGGAAGAAAGACTGAAAGGAGAACCAGGAGGGAAGAAGGGCAGTCAATTGTCAGGGAGGGAGGGAGGGAGGGAGGGAGGGCAGT